AAAGGCTCCCTGTGGGTCTGAGCTGCTGTGCCTGGGTGTGAGCAGCCCCGGCTTTGCTGAGCCAGGCTCTTCCCAGGGCCAGTGCCTCCTTGGTAAGAGGTGGCATCTGTGTCCTTTGCGGGCCCGGGTCTCGGAGCAGACTTTCACCAGACTGAGTTTTCCAGATGAAGAAGAGAAAGGAGGTAACGTGGGAAGGATGAAAAACTTTGCAGAGCAGGTAACTGGCTGCTGGCCTCCAGAATCTCGGATCAAGCAGCGAGCCCTGCTTTTTGCTAAGCTCTTGTGTTGCTAAGTCAGCCTGTTGGCACAATGATCGCTGGAAACAGTAAAATTAACTGAAGAATTAATTGCTGTTTAGGATTCAATATGACCCTTTACTTTTTGTCTGGAAGCTGCCGCAAAGTCAGAGTCAAAAATTAACGCCGAGTCTGCAGGGTCCTGGGAAAGGTGCAGCTCACTTGAGATGAGGGTTGTTGCCGCTCAACGGTGTTTGACTGCTGCTCCAGGTGAAGCCAACGCCGGCAGGATCAGACCTATGATTTTTTGCTTTTTCTCCAGCATACCGGGACGCGCACAGGCCAAGCTCTGTCACGTGTGGCCTCTAAGGAATCGTGAACCCCAACACCGTGGGCTGGGCTGAAGGAGTTGGCTAATGGAGAATTTACGGTAAGAGCAAAATGTATTTTTAACCACCAGGATATGCTTATCGTCAGGAAAGGGCAAGCAACACTCCTATCTCTCCAGGGAAGGGGAAGTGTTGAGCGTGACTTTAGTTTTGTCCAACTCCTTTCCAAACTCTGAAAGGGTTTTTTTCTTTCTTGCTGAGACATGTCGGCAGATTAAATCAGGGAGTTAAATAGACATAAATCCCGGGTCACAGGTGAAAAATATTAAATGCCAGCCATGCAGTGTTTTTCCATTGCATGTGATATACGTTCGGGAAAGACCTTTGGGAAGTGCTTTGAAACGAGTCTGGTTTGATTTTCTAAATATATTAAGAGCCTGTCCAGAAGCTTTTCATTTTTCAGGGCAACTTTGATGTTTTCTGTCTTGAAGAGGAAAGCAGATTCCCCTCGCAGTCCTCTACCCCACCCTGCTGCCTCTGGAACAAGCAGCGCATCGGGTGCCTGCGAATCGTGGGCTGCTTTTTGGCTTGGGTGCTTTGCTGAGGAAGGGGCTGGATGTGTCCCCTGGCAGCAGCCGCTGGGCGCAGGCGGCCGTTCTCTGCTCCCACCCTACCCGCGCCCAGCGACACCTGCCCCCGGCTTGGGACACGAGCACAGCGTTCACCTTACCAGCAGCAGGACCCTGACATTTTCCGCAGCCTGTGCTGCTCTCACGTTCCTTAATCCTGCCCCGGGACTAGAAAAGCCTTTAAATGAGACACATGGCAATTTGCTTGCAGGACAGACAATAAGGATTCCTTTCAGGGCACCTAGGCAGGAGGGGTTTTGCTGATCCCTTAAACATCCACTTGCCTGTTTTAGTCAGCGGTAGGAGTCACAAAGAAACGAAACGCTTTGAAATGCTAAAAGCTGCTTGACCAAAGAGTCAGGCTGAGGGTGTTACCACGGTGCCTCCTACCATTCCCACGTGGAGCAGCGCTGCTGCCCACCTCTTCAAAACCAGTCTCGCCTGTCCTGCGGGCATCCTCAGCAGAGGCAAGACCTCCCTCTTCTCCTCATCTCCAGGCTTCCTCCTGCCCTTCCCCAGTGCCCCCTTCTCTAAGGGTCGTTGAGTCCTTAATGCTCCTGCTCACCCTCATTCTTGCAGTCTCAGATATAAAAGCTGTAGCCTGTACCCTGTAGCACCAGCTGCATCCCCGTGCGACGAGGCGGCTGGGCAGCGGGTTAGGCGTGACCCCGTGGCCGGCCGTCAGGGCCCGCTTACGGTTCACCTTGGTTTTTCTTTCATCGCTGGCTGCGGTGACCTCTCAGGGATGGGGAGGGCTGCGCTGTGCTGCTCCTCCCGACGGAGCGGCTGAGTGGGTTTGTCCTAGATTTCTTCTCCTTGATATGCTTGTGGGTGAGTCACCCCCCCGCCCCGGGGACCGCTCGGTCCGAGATCTGAATGTCTCCTTGGGAAGGGCCTATCTGTCCCCATCAGCTGCCCCGGGGAGCTGAGGGCAACGCTCTCCTCTGTGAAGGGCTTGGACATCAGGTGGGGTGATTCTTTGCTTCTTGCTATCTGTGCTTCAGCAAGTTTTGCTGATTTGCAATTAAATCTTCTTTCATGTTGGTTTTAATTGCCCTCTCAGTTCCCCATACTACAAAGGAATGCTGAAGAATCCGTTTTCGGCCTTTCAGTTCATCTTCTCCTCGTTTCAGCTGTGTCTGTGCTGTTCTCCTTGCTGTCGTAGTGTGAAATATTCAGGAAGAAATGTGAAATTCCCTCATCTGAATGTCACGTACCACATCTTAGAGCTTGCCATGAGGCACGGGGAACGTTCCTGGCTCTACCTGCTTTGAAGAGCAAACAAAGGAAAGCTGGAAGCACCACAGTGTCTGGTCTTGGCAGATGCTTTGGAGACCAGCCCATTTTCATGGAAATTAGGTTGTTACTATTAGTTTATTTTTTTGTCAGGACCTGAGCGATTCATCAGTCATTTTTCCATTTTCATAAAGCGGTTTGTGAATCACACGCACGTAAAATGAAGGAGTTAGCAAATGCTGCTTCCCTTTAATGTACGGTAATCTAGCCTTCTCGTTTTTGTAACTGCTCTCTGGAATCTTCCACCTTATTATGACTATTTCAATGAAAGTTGGAAAAGAAGACCCCTCCCCACTACCTTCTACTTCTTTAAAGAGAACAGGAAGGTTGTGCAAGCTAAAATTAAACCAAAACTGGTTTGCAGCTGAATGATTGTGTAACCTACGTGTTAAGAAACAAGACGAGGAAAGGGCTGAGGAAGAACTTTCTGAAGCAAACCCTTCAGGTGTGGGGCAATGGCTAAGGTGAAACAGTCCCTGCTCAGAGAAATGTGCTCGATTCACTGCTTGGTATGGGAATAACATTATTCCATCGTAGCATTTTCCTAACTTGGAAAAGTGGCTTTAAACGCAGGCCCCTTCCATTTGTCTCCATTCAGAGATGTAGTGTCAGCGTCAGAACCAAGTGCGCCGCTGCTCAGTTCAATATTTACAGCGTTTCCCTGCTTTTTTCTCCATGCTGAATGGCATTTTATATCCTCCAGATATTAGTCTGGTGATTGACATAAACCAAAAT